TGTAGCAACTTGATTTTCTGTTTTTTTGTACAATGGTTATTTTGGAAGAATTTGGGAGAATCTTGCAAGATAAACATACGTTGCCAAAAGTGATGCAAGATGAACATAATTTGAAAAAATCTTGCAAGACCTTGCAAGATAAGCATTGGCTATCGACTATGGTAGTGCTAACTTCCTGCTTTTATTTACAGGGGTGACAAATTTTTAGAAGATAACTAGGGTTGGCGATTGTTAAGTAAATACCTCAATTCTCAAACATTTTCTGGCGATTTGATAAAACATAATTCTGTCGATTGTTGTAAAAAGTATTGAGTGAGAAGCTTGTTCCAGTATATATTATATTTCTCGCAGTATAATTCTTTTTATGTTTTCTAATAACTTCAAAATACTAAAGTAAAAATAGCAGACGCCGAAAAAAAAGCTGATTTTTTTTCTAAATGAAAACCAATTTCGTTTGAATATTTTATAGAACATTATATGATTATTTATTATTACTTTGATTGTTTTAATCTCAGCGACAAAAATAAAAGCAAAAGTAAAATTTTCTGCTGCTTTTGATAAAAGCAGCAGAAAGTAAAAAATTCAGTTTTTCCCGAAGTACGCCTGGGTACGACCCGTGAAGCTTACAGCGGCAATCTAAAGGTCAATGAGGCAACCAGACGTTTCTGATTGGGGATAAATGCGTGTTTTTCAGAATTGCAGCGTTAATTTTCAAGCCGACGTTAACTTTCAATTTCAAAACTCAAAGCTGCGGAGAGGAAAGATCTTATATTTGTTAACCTTTAAACAAACCTAGCTCCTGAAATATTAGTAATTCATAAGGTAAATCAAAATAACATCAACTTACAATAACTTACAAACCTATTGCAAAAAAGATCTGAGAAAAATAATAAATCTAAGATTATTTTGGCAATGCCAATTATTCCTTTTACACTCTATTTATCAGTCTTTTTTTGATGGCCAAAACCCTATTAATAAAAAAAAATACAAAAAACTCTAAAAACACCAAAAACCCAAAAAATTCCCACTTTTTTTTGAGCTATCACCTTAAGAGTGCTGTACAGTGCAGTCTCAGCAAGATCAGGGCATATATATTTCGCCCGCAAACATATATGCACGACCAAAACCGACAAAAAAGTGATCAACACACAAGAATGACAAAAGTGATTTGACTTAAATCTAAGGAATACGAAAATTTGAAACTTTTGTGATTCAAAAACAAAAGCAATAAAAAAAATTAAAAAGTTGAAATCTAGCAGAATCGATAAATTTCATGTTCACAAGTGTTTTACTTCTGATTCAATATGTGATCAATTTTTGAGCTAAAGGTTTTCATTATTTATTGACGTTTTCATAATCTGGGCGGGCGGGAGACGAACATAATACACTTTATTATTCTATTCTTCCCTAGCGAATTGCAGTACTCCCAAAAAACAATTTCAAAAATTAGATTAACAGGTACCAATGTTTTAACGCGATTAACAGAAAGTCGGAAAAATGACTTATGATTATTGACTTTTCGAATGTTGTCTGACTAGCACTTTTTATAAGCCAAATACGTGTTTTTTACATGTTTAATTTTTTCTCATCGTTTTTGGGACGTGTTCAGTAGGTTTTTTCAAAAAATTCGTAGGTTTTTTCTTTTGTTTACAAAAATAACTAAATCAATTTATGCACACAAAATTTTAAATTGTTTTAGGGCAATTTCGAAATTACTGTTTTAATTTTTAGAGCCGTCATCAAAAAACGCTAGTCCTACTATTTCCATTCAAGGAATCTGCATGAGTAGCAATTTTTGTCGAAAATGTTCTTTTTTCACCATAGATCATTTTTTTGTTGAAACAAGATAAAAATATTTTAAAAGAATTGGATAACACCATTTTAACCAAACTTTATAAGAATTGTACAATTTTACGATATGAAAATGTATTTGATTTTTTTACGGACAATTTCTTTATAAAAATGTATGGTTAGCCCGGGATTGTTTGCGTGTGGTTTGAAAATTTGCGAAAGCAGAAAAAAAACACACCAAATTTTCTAGCAAAAAATACATCAAAATTTTTCAAATTAATTGTAACTAGGAACGCAATTTTGTTAATCTTGAACTTGGTATGATCGATGAGGTCGTACAGTTTATCATCATAGATACTTTTGGTCTACGCGTTCTATTTTTTTAATCATTCCGTTAGATCGTAGAAAATTCGTTGAGTATCACTATGTTGTGATTGGTGAGGTGCTTTGAAGCAACAAAGAGCCCAAAAATGACAAAAATTCGTAATGTAATCCAGTAATCTTGTCATGAAACCATCCAAGACTAAGCCATTTCAAAAGATCCCGTTTTTGTCTCCCATGGTGACCTCAACAAATTACAGAAAAGGCAAAATAACGATTTGAACAAACACAAGACAAGCACTAGGAGTTATTAGCAAGTTCTGACCGAAACTGATTACACAACCCCGAGAAACAGACCCAAAAAAAGTTATATCGATACTTATAGTTACTAACAAGTTTTCAAAGAAAAATTGCTATCTATGCGTGTTGATACGTTTTTATTTTCGCTTTTGATTGGTGAGGTGCTTTTAAACTGCAAAAGACTCACAAGAAGACGCAGTCACTATTTCTATTATAGGCAGCAATGTTCTTTTTTGATGACGAAAAACGAGCAGATCGGGCTTAATCAAAAATTGGCCTGTTTTGACTATTGATACGAACTTCGAAGAAAGAGAGGAATGTATATGATCGGGTTATTTCTCTAACTCAGACAAATTTTGAAATTTATCCCTGATTTAAATTTTAAAATAGGAGATCCCTGAATATTTGTGGGCCCGTCCGTTCACACACCACTATATTTCAATACAGCACACACACGATTAAATGCTACTTGTTTCATATTTTGATGCTAAAATTAAAGGCGCATAATTTTCTAGCGGTAAGTTACCCCGAACTAAAAATCGTTCGAAACTGAATTGAGGCAAGCTAAGTGATCTAATTAATTTCATACCCTACTCAATTTTCAATGCTTCAAATTTGATAATATCAGCCTAAACTCACAAAATGTCAATCTTTCACATTTGGAGACCCGTTAATGGGCAGTTGGAACATAAGTTAGTCTTGTTCATAATTAATTAACTTTTATTTAAAAAAATCTGAAACCGTGGTAATTTGACATTTTGGTTGTTCAGGCGGTCGAATCTCTTAGTAGGGAGGGCAGAGATGCCCTTAAATTGTTCCCCTTTAAAAACGCTACTGATTTGAAATAAACTCACTTTCTTCTAAAAACTAAAAGTTTTCAACGAAAAATAGATGCAGCATTTAGTAAAGTTCTATCGATATTTGATTTTTTTTGGTAATTTTTTCAGATTTCTTTTTAGTTTTTTTAAATCAATGTCCAGGCGCTATGCAAAAAACAAGTGATAAATTTTGCTTAAGTGAAAATTAAACTGATCAAACAGCATGCTCCAAATCAATCTGGAGCAATTTGGAATAAATCAAAAAGAATAAATCTCCACTTACGAGTTAATAGGACAAATTATGTTGCGCGGTTAATTTTTGCAAATTGGCCAAACTGTAGCCACAAGTGAACTTCAGCTCAAGTAACTTTTTAAACATGAGCTCAAGACAGCAATTTTTTACGAATTATATTAAAAAATTGTCAGAACTTGCTTGTTGAAAAGTAGAAACTTGTCTGGAGAGAAAAAAGCACTCCTAGCATAATTAGTCCGTTTCTTTTTTGAAAACTTGGAACAGAATTCTTCTGCAATTTTATGCTTGTCTGAAATGTTTTCTCTTTTTTGAGATTGATACCAATTTTACAGAAGAAAATTAGTGATGAATTAACGCTGGAACAATGAAAAATTGTTTTTGCGATTAATCAGCGATAGAAAATAATAAGCTTTTTTAAAAACTTAGGCAAAGCAAAAGTTAGAGATTTTAATGAGGCTCGAAGCTACAAGCAGGTGAAAGCTAGGTGGTTTTTTATTACATTTTGCCTAAAGTAAGATAAATTGACAATATTTGCGTTAGTTACCTTTGAAGAAAGTGAGAAAACTATACGCCTGGTTTTTCTTTCATATCAATATCTGAAAGAAAGTTTTAGATCAAGGCTCTGTCCTGAAAAAGACATGTTGCTAAGCGGTTGGGCTTTGCACTATCTTAAATGTACTGCAGTCTGCGGCGTAGAATTCTGGTTCAACAATTTGAAGATATTTTCTATGATGCTGAAACTCAATCGAATTGAAATGACACCAACTAATTGATAATATTATTGTTCCGACTTTGACTTTTGAATAAAAGGACGGAATATTTGTTCTCGGGTTTTTTCTCCAAACAAACTTTGCTTTTTTGAAAAGCCACTTTTAACGTAGTTTCATATATCATCTGAAAACTATTACTGTCCTGAGCTCAAACTTTTAAAAAAAATACGTCTGATTTTTACCGTGAATGTATGAGGATTGATTGATTCAAAATTTCCTGTTTGACCAAGTTGCCTAACTAACACGGTAACACGATATATATTTCGTGATATGAACGCGTAAGCGGCTATTTGATCCCGCACAAAAATCGGTGTTTGATTTGAAACTTCCTATTTGTATATAATTTAAGTTTCACCATTTTTCAAAGAAATCTGCTCCATATGCATTAGAGGGCAATGTAAACACTCAGTGCGTCGCCTTCATACGAGCTGTCCTGTTTCCTTATACGACTCAGATTTTAAAAATGATTACTAGATTATCAGGATCAAAAGTTATTGAAGACCAATTAAAAGTCAGTTATAATATTCAGAGCTATGCCCTGACATACGAGCAGCGCCTTGTTTTGTTTTTGATAGCATGTTTGACATAGCGTAGTCAACAATTTATTCTAATTTATGGTGCTCGCTAAAAACTTTCCTGAAATTTTGCTGCAACAATTTGGAGAAAATTGTAACCAAATGTTAATCCATACCTGTCAACAAAAGCCTTCAGGTAAAATTAATTGAGCTGTCTGGTTCTGAATTTTAGTGTGTGCTTCTATGTAGACAACCAGTTGTCGTGAAATAGTGGCAAGTATGAACACATTTGTATTTGTTTGATTTCGTTTGTTTTAGTTTGTTTTTGTTCATGTTTTCGTGTCCAAGTTTCTTTCATACGGAGTAATATTGATTGAAATTTACAGATATAGTGGAACCTGATCTAAACTACATTTTATGATTGGATAAATTAGATATTTTACCAATGTAAAGTATTTAATATTAACCAATCATGATCCATCTAACTAACAACCCACTTATTTGTAAGTGCTGAAGTTACTTGTAATTTCAGCACCAGAGAGATTTGAATTTAACTTAGAAATTAGTTGGACTCTCCCGAGCACTTCAGCAGCCGCAATAAACCAGTATACCCTAGATCTATTGAGCCTAGCAGAGACTAGTTAAACAACCTGAGACTAGATAGTATAAGAGTAAGATTAGGATCGGTATTAGACTAAGAAGTTGCACGAATCTATCCGGCCGAAAATAAGATAGCGTGACGAGCAGACGGTGTACCCTATCCGAAATTACTCTATGAGTTAACCAACTCGGTCCTAACTCATCTGGTGCGACCATAAGTCTCGAACAAGACCTTAATAGCTTAGAATTAACCAAAATAGATTAGAAATTAGACAAAAACATTTACAAAATGTTATACGACAATAATTTAATCGAAATGTCTCTACGACTCAATAGATCAGAGCCAATATTCCGAACCATAACAGAACTACCCGGAATTGGAAGAAGACCTCGAACCAGAGACGACATACGACAAAGTAGAAACTTGCCATATAGCTATATGATAGTTAGGCAAAAACCAGAACAAACTTTTATATTTAGAATACTACTGGCAATGAATTTAGATTTTCATTTGCAAACATAAAACCTTGAAGTTAATCTTCAAAATCATTTCAGGCGCTAAACAAAATTATTAATATACAATAAAGATTGATAAAAAGATCTAAGATCGTTTTCCTAAAACTCTGCAGTAATATACAAAACATGTTTGAAAAATATTTATTGAAAAATAAAAAATAAAAATTAGTAGCATGACAATAAATGGTTAGTAATCATAAATCATCCTGTTGTTCCAGCTCCATCACCTAAAACATAACAGCAATCATAAACCCACTAATATCATCAAAACACTAAATCTTTCCTTTACACACATTTAAAATTTTATTAAAACTTAAATTCACTTAATTTTAAAACCAGATCATCAAGGCTTATCCTTGGATCTTAAATCATTTTCTACTTAATTAAATTTCAAATTTGATCATCAAGGCTTATCCTTGGATCAAACAGAACAACTTTGTTCTCCCCCACCCACTTAATTAGTGTCTAACGACCTCAAACGTCGATTCACTACCCAACCCTTTCTAAAGACCTAAGACTAATAGAAATTTTTAAACAAAACTAATCATTCAAATTAGGATAAACAGTGAAGAACTTCGGTTATTCATCCTTCACTTGACCCCCCCCCTCTTAACAGACCCAGGATAAATCTTAGACTTAGTAAGTTTAAAATAGTATCTAACGAACTACTCGCGTTCTAATTATACCTGAACCTTGTGGATCGATTTACTATTCTCCAACCCTTGAACACAATCACTACCCCTAAGTAAGATTAAGTAAGTTAACACCTTAACTTATACTAGCCACGAGAAAGTAAAAAATCATTCTTCGGAATCGATATACTTTTCTCTCCAACCCTGAACAAATAGACCCAGGTTAAGCTAACCAAAAAATCGTAAGAACTAACAGTTTAGGAAAATAGAAATCATTTAACAACCTTTTGCATCCGTCATCCTAAACCTTATGTCATTTAAAAACCTAGGAAATAAACAAACAATCGTTTTACACAATTGTGAAATAGATAACAAAAAATACGACCTTGTAATCACACCTCATACACAAACAGTTGGATACATTCGAACAAAACGACAAACACTAAAAAGAAAAATAATAACGAAACAAAGACAAATAACACGAAAAAGATTTTCAAAAAATCGAAACGCATTTTCAGAATCAGAAACCAACAGTTTAGACGAACTTTACAAACTAAAAGAATCAATAGATAAAAATTGCCCACTTCACGATCAATTATATTTTTCTGACTCAGAAACAACTTCAAATTCATCAAAAAGAGGAAAAAGAAGAATAAAAAAGCAGTATAAACACAAACCAGTACATTTATACAATTGGAATCAACCAATTCGACACATTAATAATTACATATTAACAGTCATCGAACGAAAAAATGAGCTCAACGCACACCCCAGGTGAAGAAAGTCCAGATGATGATGAAATCTTTCCTTTTATAGTAAATGCAACCACTGATAGAGGACAGCATATATTTTGCAAAAATTTACTATTAAATTTATTTGAACCCGGAATCAGTCCATGTAAAACAGAGTTCCCAGATGTAAAAATCAAAAGACAAATCATAGACCACTACTTAAAAGATATATGCAACATAACACAACAGTATGGAATCTACTCCATAGAATTCACCTCACCAAACCATAATAATAGAAAATATACAATTCAAACAGACGATCTTGATTTAGAATTTTCAAAAGTTTTTTCAGAATATATAAAAAGCATCCAATATCATAACTCACAAAGAGCAAACTCCATATTCACCAATGAAGTTTTCGCAATAATATATAGTTATATTTCGATATTAGAAAACGAAATCCCAATAACAAATGTCTCACCGACAGAAACATCTAAACATTTAAGAGTACGACATGAAATCACACTACTCTCTAGTTATTTACACATCATTAAAGAAAATTTCACGAAAGACGACGTTTCACAACATACAAAACACGATCTACAAAAAATTTTGGCATGGTTGATAATAGATTATTTCACACACAATATTGATTTAATTGCACAAGCAAGAAAAAATTTTAGACCCCAAAACTCGAACGATGATACCGCTATCACAGAACAATCAGATTATGTTTGGGACCCCGAATGGTCTCATCCCGCATTTATAAGCTTCCCACAAACAATCTCAAGTCAAGCAATAAGTACGATATCTTACATAAGAGATTATGTAAGAGTAATACCATTCACCATTGATGCAACACCATTAAACTATAATACATTTTTGCCCGATACACAGAATAATAGTTTAAACTCTACAGTCATACACAATGAAAACCTCAATGGAACTAGGAATCTTACTCAACAAGATATCCAGACACCATCACACTTCATAAATGAAGAAATTGTACACACAACAACTACACAACAAAGTATTTCACCAATACGCCCAAATTTAACAACACCAAGAAATACAAATCCTTCACAAACACAGGTAACCTTACAATCAACCGTTAAACCTTCGGTTGCCCCTAAATATTCACATATGGATTACCAAACATACAGACCCATGACAATACCATCAAAAACACGCAAAACATTCACTAGAAACAACTTTGCAGACCATAATTATAATTATACACATCCATCAAAAACATATAACCAACCACAAAGAAATTTTAACCAATATACAAGATCTCGAAATTGGGATAACCCAATGACCCAACCTAATTCAATAAATTTCCAAACAAATCCTCCACAGGATCATAGTGAAAATTACCCATTTTTTCAACAAAATAAAAATAAAAAACAGACATCTTATCAAATGGATTATTTATCCTCAGATGATGATTTCTTACAACCAGATATATTTGAACCAAATACTCAAGAATATCGTAGACAAGGAATACAGAGAACACGTACAAATCATAGAAATTTTTCTCCACAACCAATAGATGCACAACATCAACAACCAATTCAACAAAAAAATCTAATTAATACACAATCTTTTCAACCAATTCAACAACAAAATCCAATGACTGCACACTCGTATCAAGCATCACAAATGCAAAATGAAATACCACTCCCATATTATCTCCAACAACATGAAATAACAAGAAACCAACTTTCAAATTTTTCTCAAATGCCAAATGCAGCAGAATCATTACAAATGACAATGAATCCATACCTTATGGGTGGATCATCAATAACATCAAACAAACCTTTAATGGTTTTCACAGGAACAGACCCTGAATACTCTGTAGAAGATTATTTAAATGCAGTAACAGCAAACCTGATTTTAAATATTGGACCTGAACCAATTAATACGCCACTACATCAAAATTGGATACATCGACGCACAGCGTTAATACAAACAACCTTAGATGGCGCAGCCCAAAAATGGTTTTCAGTACTACCTCTAGAAATAAAATCAAACTGGAAAAGGTTTACACAGGAATTTTCAAAAATGTTTGACTCCGAAAGAAACAAACAACAACAAAGAGTTTTATGTAATGAAATTCGCAGATTACCAAACGAAACCATCAAGCAATTAGCAGTACGAATCGAAACACTAGTTCGAAAAGCATATTCACTAAATACACACGACTATAAAAACACAAAGATGACAGAAATCTTAATGATGACCTTAATACCACAATTAAGGAAAATAGCAATAAAAAAGAGAGCATCCCATCCTTCTTCAATTCGAGAACCCGATTTAGATTTTCGAAAACTAGTAGACAAATTAGAACAAGCAGAAATCACGATGAAACTAGAAGAAACGGAAAATCTGAAATTACAATACGTTAACAGAATTGAAACGACTCCCACTAATATTAATAATATACAGGAATCAGAGACAGACCTCGTTGAAAAAATCACTGAAATACTCAATATTTACGAAAAGAACCCAAACTTTAAAGGCAAACCATCTTTCAAAAAATGGTGTAATTATTGCCGACGATACGGACATAGTATTTCCGAATGTAGACAAAAACAGCAAGACAATCAAAATAAACCTCAAAAATATAAAGAACCAAATAAATCATTCTATCAATACATGAAAAAAGATCAAAATCTACCGAACAAAACAGTCTACAGCAACAACAGTTCAGGAAAACCACTCCCGAACAATACAAATTATACAAGAAATCAATCACCATATAACTCAAGTTATAGAGGAAGATCACCAGAACGAAG